AGGATCAAACTACGGTAAAAAAAAATTTTTTTAAAGCGTTATAACGCCTTTTGAAAAGGCGTCATAACGCGAATAAGGCGTTATTACGCCTTTCCAAAAGGCGTTATTACGCCTTTCTAAAAGGCGTTATAACGCCTTTCCAAAAGGCGTTATTACGCCTTTCCAAAAGGCGTTATTACGCCTTTCTAAAAGGCGTTATTACGCCTTTCCAAAAGGCGTTATAACGCCTTTCTAAAAGGCGTTATTACGCCTTTTTGAAAGGCATTAATACGCTTTTCAAAAAGGCGTTATTATGCCTTTTGAAGGACCATTATTATGTCTTTGAGAGGCCCGTGCTTTTAAAGTGGGGGGGGGGGGGTTTCCATAAAATTGACAAGCAAACAAAAAAACAAGAACCACCCCCCCCCCCGTTTGCATGCATATTAAGAGAAGTCAACACTCTACTTTTGAAAATCCAGGATATAGGCAGAACCAGCTTTGGGCTTTGCTAGCCACGAATTAAAAATTCATGTCAAATTTGAAATATTTTTCTCTCCTCTTGGTAAAAAACAGGCAAAGTATTTGCAAAGGTATAATGAGCAATTAGCCTTCAACAAAATTTCTGAAATCCATTCACCTTAAATTGGTAGAAGCGTCTGGCATCAGAGAAGGACTAAGTTGGTTTAACACTGAAAATATTTTACACATTTAAAAATCTTTTTTCCTAGAAATCTTATTATAATCAGCCCCCAGAGTGGGCTAAGAAAGTCATGTATTGAAAAAAAAGAGTCGTAATAACGCCTTTTTAGCTCACCTGAGCCAAAGGCTCAAGTGAGCTTTTCTGATCAAAATTTGTCCGTTGTCTGTCGTCGTTGTTGTCGTTGTCGTTGTTGTTGTAAACTTTTCACATTTTCATCTTCTTCTCAAGAACCACTGGGCCAAATTCAACCAAACTTGCCACAAAGAATCCTTGGGTGAAGGGAATTCAAGTTTCTTCAAATGAAGGGCCACGCCCTCTTTCAAGGGGAGATAATTAGGAATCAGTGAAAAAATAATGGCATCATTTAAAAATCTTCTTCTCAAGAACCACTGGGCCAGGAAAGATGAAACTTATGTGGAAACATCCTCAAGTAGTGTAGATTCAAGTTTGTTCAAATCATGACCCCCGGGGGTAGGGAGGGGCCACAATGGGGGATCAAAGTTTTACATAGAAATATATAGGAAAATATCTTTAAAAATCTTCTTCTTAAGAACAGCAAAGCCATGATTGGTCATATTTATATGAAAGCATCCTCAGGTAGTGTAGATTCAAATTTGTTCAAATCATGACCCCCGGGGTTAGGGTGGAGCCACAATGGGGGATCAAAGTTTTCCATAGAAATATATAGGAAAATATCTTTAAAAATCTTCTTCTTAAGAACAGCAAAGCCATGATTGGTCATATTTATATGGAAGCATCCTCAGGTAGTGTAGATTCAAGTTTGTTCAAATCATGACCCCCGGGGGTAGGGTGAGGCCACAATGGGGGATCAAAGTTTTACATAGAAATATATAGGAAAATATCTTTAAAAATCTTCTTCTTAAGAACAGCAAAGCCATGATTGGTCATATTTATATGGAAGCATCCTCAGGTAGTGTAGATTCAAGTTTGTTCAAATCATGACCCCCGGGGGTAGGGTGAGACCACAATGGGGGAACAAAGTTTCACATAGAAATATATAGGAAAATATCTTCAAAAATCTTCTTCTTAAGAACAGCAAAGCCATGATTGGTCATATTTATATGGAAGCATCCTCAGGTAGTGTAGATTCAAGTTTGTTCAAATCATGACCCCCGGGGTTAGGGTGGGGCCACAATGGGGGATCAAAGTTTTCCATAGAAATATATAGGAAAATATCTTCAAAAATCTTCTTCTTAAGAACAGCAAAGCCATGATTGGTCATATTTATATGGAAGCATCCTCAGGTAGTGTAGATTCAAGTTTGTTCAAATCATGACCCCTGGGGGTAGGGTGGGGCCACAATGGGGGGGGGGGTGTCGAAGTTTTTCATAAGAGTATATAGAAAAAAAACTTTTAAAATCTTCTTCTCAAGATAAGCAAAGACATGATTGGTCATATTTATATGGAAACATCCTCAGGTAGTGTAGATTTAAGTTTGTTCAAATCATGACCCCCGGAGGTAGGGTGAGGCCACAATGGGTGATCAAAGTTTACAGAGGAATATATAAGAAAAAATCTTTCTGTCAAGAACAGAAAAGCCATGATTAGTCAAATTGATATGGAAGCATCGTTGGGTAGTATAAAATGAAATTTGTTCAAATGAGCGCCCCCGGGGGTAGGGTGGGGCCACAATGGGGGATCAAATTTTTACAAATGAATATATGGGAAACAATCTTCTGCTCAAGAACAGCAAAGTTATTTATTATATTGATATGAAAGCATTGTCAGGTAGTTTAAAATCCCCCATCCCCCCCCCCTCTCCCCCATTAACTTTTCAATACTGAACTGATTTTTGCTTTTTTTCCTAGCCAATGTACTCAGGTGAGCGATGTGGCCCATGGGCCTCTTGTTAAAAGGCGTAATAACGCCTTTTGGAAAGGCGTAATAAAACCTTTTGGAAAGGCGTAATAACGCCTTTTAGAAAGGCTTAATAACGCCTTTTGGAAAGGAAGGCGTAATAACGCCTTTTTAAAAGGCGTAATAACGCCTTTTGGAAAGGCGTAATAACGCCTTTTAGAAAGGCGTAATAACGTCTTTTGGAAAGGCGTAATAACGCCTTTTTTCGCGTTATAACGCTTTTTTTTCGCGTTATTACGCATTTTTGAAAGGAGTTATAACGCCTTTTAATTTTTTTTTCTCCAAATATTGATCCTAATAGGCTTTCGTAATAATAGTGGTCCAACATCTCATGACAGATATTTTGGACTGTTCGATAAAAAATTGTTGTCATGTTTACCTATATATATTTTTTAAAGATATAACAACAGATATACCGGTATTTACTTCATATGCCTATTTATTTTTCAGATTGTTAACAAAACATGCAACTTGAAGTTATTTCGATGAGGCGAATAGGTAATCCACAAAAAAGACTATTCAGCTATCAATTTATACTCCAAAACATCAGCTTATACTGAAGGTGAATAATACCGGGTATTTACAATAATTAATTAGAGTATCACAGTTGACTTCTCTTTTGTGTCGAAATAGATGAAAAATCCAACTGTTATTTTATTCAAATACATGTACTGTAGTGTCAGAATATCTACATGTAATGTTTTCTCTATTTATAGAGTTTACTTACAGCTCACCTGAGCTGAAAGCTCATTGGCATTTCTGATCACATTTTGTCAGGCGCCCGTATTCGACTTCTTCCAATTAAGTGTAGGTGATTCAATTTCAAGCGGAATTAAATAAGTGAACATAAGAAGGAATCATTTAAAAATCTACTGGACCAGATAAAACGTAAAAGAAAATTTCATGATATAGTGTATATTCAAGTTTTTTTGTTTTGTTTTGTTTGTTTGTTTTATTTTTTTTTTACATGACTCCAGGGGGGGGGGGGATTAGACAACAATGGGATATCAATTTTTACACAAGAGAAAGAAGGGAAAAGGATTTAAAAATCATCTTCTAAAGAACAACAAGGACATGTTTACTAGTAGTCATACTAATTTGCAAGCATCCTCAGGCAGTGTAGATTAACGTTTGTTCAAACCATGGCTTCCGGGGATAGGATGGGGTAGAACAACAATATATGAAAAAAAATTACAAGGGGAATGTAGGAAAAAAATCTTTTAAAATCTTCTCAAGAACAACAAGGGCATGATTAGTTACCATCCCCAGACAGTGTAGATTTACTAGACGTATATAGTTAACTTAAATCATGGCCCTGGGTGGGGTGGGATATATAGGAAAAATCTTCTTCTCAGAATAGTTGGGTCATTATTAGTCATAATAATATGAACGCATCCTCAAGTAGTGCGAATTCAACTTTGTTCAAATCATGGCCCCCGAGAGTAGGGTATGCGACTACTAATTCAAAATTTTTTCATTGGAAAAATAAGGGTAATTTTAAAAAAAAACTGCTAAGATGAGGGTTGTGGTCCATGGGCTTTTTTCAATTTCAGTTCAACAACAGTGAAATAATTTTCACTTTTCAAATACAGTGTAGCTTATTTTGGAATGAATACGTAAATTTCTAGGATATCTCCGATTGACATTTCTTATCATTAGAATTTCTTATGTAGGTTCATCATCAAGAAGAAAAAGAGATTATGAAAGCTACAGTCAAAGTTTGCATCATTCTGAATTTTCTGGTAATCTCCAAATCACCTTAGAGTGAATTACATCCTATTATTCTTATTATTCTCAGCGTCTGCGATTACATTATTTCTACTTGTATTTTTAAGATCACGAGAACAATATCAAATTCTTGTCACCAAAGAGTGAGCGTGACATCATGTCCTGAATCTGTAAAGGCTTGGAGAGAGAGGGCACATTTAAAAGGATGCTACGTGCCTCAAAATATATGTGCGTCAGGGTTGCGTTCCAATATAACATACACGTATCATTGTCTGCCAAATGAGTTTTTGAACGCAACGTACGAAGTGTGCATGCCCGCGATACAGATACTAGGTTTGTAATTAGAATTAAGATAATTAAGGAATATAATGGCACTGAAAATAAAATCGATTATGTTGTATTTTATAATACTCCAAGACACGGTTATCCATGCATTTCCCCTTTGCTATTAAAAAAATCAATCATAGGAACTAAAAAATAAGCAGAAATACAGGTCGAAAAGTGTTTTTTGTATTGACAAATGAAAGAAATTCGATCGATTGATAGATAGATAGATCGTACCATTTACATGATACCAGGAGAATGTAGAACTTTATATTTTAATTTTTTTTAATTTATGAAATTCCTCTCTCTCTCTCTCTCTGATCCTTATATATTAAATAAAAATGAAACATTCTAGGTAAAAGATGTGCTGAATATAACACACATGGCAGAGTCATTCAGCCGAGTTTGGCGAGTCGTTGTGAAAAATGTCCAGTAAGGTACATATCGACTGATATTTATAAATGTAAGTGTATATTCTTGTTCAAAGTTTATTTTAGTTCATATACATGTAGTAGTTACCCCTCACATAATATACTGTTGGCTATGTGTAGATACCCAATAGGCGTGGGATATATATACACGAGGGACACATCTCCCCAGTTGTCACGATGACCACGTCCATTGGATATCTACCTGGTACACATTTTAATCGATTATAATTTATAAATACCGAAAAGCAACATCCATTTTAGGGGGAAATATTATATAAAGGATATAACTTTGTACCTAAAATGTAAGGAAATCTTCATCTTTGTAAATATTGGAAATTTAAAGGTTGAATGATTTTCATACCATTACCGAAAGTTCAGTTTGAGCCCGCTCGGCAGAAGTCAAAAATTGCATGTTTAACAAAACATTTAGCAATAATTTGGGGGTTTAAGGGTTTGCATCTGTTCATCATAAGTAATGCAGCAATATTCCGAAAAATAAGTTCTTTTTTTACCAGAAGCGGTGCCAAGGCTTCCTGAAAATGACTTAAGTACGCATTCCCATTGCTCTAGCTTGAAATTCTCAAAATAAAGGTGATGTAGAGTTGCAGATACAAATATGCACTACATCACGCCTCAACAGGCTAATGTACGTATCATTAGCATGAATGACAGTCCGTGGACCGGAAGTCCAAGGGTTGCTACACTGCGCTATAGGTTCGAGAAAATTCGACCTCATCATCTGAAAAACAGGCACTTAAAAATGACAATGAATATGTCTTTCGCTCAGATCTCGAGATTGATAAACCTAATGCATCGTAGAAATCAAGCAGCAATTGTTGTGCATGACGCTATAATTGAATGGCGGGAGGGGGTATTTTGACAGTTACATGTTATGCGTTACTTTCTAAAGTTAAAAGATAATCATTCAACAATTTTATCAAATCTCTGATGTTTTTAAATCGAGTTTTACCCTGCTGCAGTCATTTTTGAAAATCATTAGATAAAAAATTCAAATATTTGTAGTTTACTGCTTGTTGCGTTTCTTTTGCGTGTCAGTATATTATCATTGAGTGTTGACTTGTACCATAGTATCTTAATGTAGTCGTATACAAGTGGTTTAAACATTGACTGTTGGGTTATTGAAAAAAAGCGCTTTTATAAGACAGGTTGCTTTGATTATTTCATTTTTCGAAAAATTTAAAAAATCAAACTAAAAAAATTCAAACCTCTTTTTTATACTTAATTTCCTTTTTTTTCTTACAATAATTTCAAACATTTGATAAAATGTAAAGAATTTTGTGCATTTAGAATGAATTTAACATATAAAACTGAATTATTCAATTAAAAAAAATTTTTTGTTTGTTTCTTAGTTTATTTTTTGTTTTGTTTTTTATTCTATGTTTTGAATATTTGTTTGTTTGTTTGATAAAACGATTTTGGAATTATTTACGATATGCCAACGATGTCTTACCAGACAATTTGTGTTTCTTATGGTAATATCTTTAATGATTATTGATTCTATCTTGTTTTACGTGCAGTTGGAGAATTTTTCACTGATATAGAGACGTCACCATATACCGGTGCATATACTGAGACCTTTACTCTGCACTCAGAACCATTGAGTAGTGAGGGATCTTTATTAAGCCAAGCCTACACGGGGCCTCGATTTTTAGGGTCTCATCAGACAGACTTTCTTTACTGATGAGATAAACATAGGAATAGTCACAAAAAAATGAAATAAATCGGAATAAATTTGGTTATTTCAGTATTCGTACACTTGTCTTTATTTGTTATCGAAAGTCAATCATGAATGTCTAAAGTTTAAGTTTTAAATGTTGTCTTAAAATGGAACATTAATTGGAATTTATAAAAAAAAAAAATAATGATAAGCTGAATATTACATGTACCTGCACAATTTGCAATTATAACAATTGCATGTTGCCATTCCTTCGAATTAGATATGAAGATAACTACTAGAAATCCAATATTAAACAAAACAAATTGTGAGCAAAGCATAAAAGCAACTTTTGAAAACATCAGAGGTGGGATAAGGTGCCATGGAGGAGTAAGCATTCATGTCGACCTGTCATATCCGTCTTGTGCCCTTGTCATGATCGGGTAAAGTAAAAAATTTTCGACAATTCAGTATATGAAAATAATGACCTAACAATCGTCAGTCAATATTTGACTTTTCGATTTTATATGCAAACTGGGTCATTATGTCGACCATAGAATATGCAAAATGTTAACTTTAAACGGGATTAATGATGTCCTTTGATCATCAACATATTTGTCAGTTGCTTGTCTCGTTTTAGGAAATGATCGTACCTAGAACATGCTCTTGCGTATCGATTCAACTTGGAGACATAACCCCCATATGCAGTTTATAATGGTATTTAAAGATAGTAAAATAAAATCATCACTTTTATCACAAAGTTTAGTTGTTAGTTTGCCATCAATTTCTTTCTCGAGTATACCAAAAATGAAATATATATGTCAAACTTTGGTGTGTCTTTTATAAGTTCAGTGGGATATATCGAACCAACGTATAAATGAAATGTAATATTGTATTTACGTTGTCATATTCCACTATCACCTGCATATGCTGTTTATGTCTCCCAACTTATTCTATACTCAAGAGCATATGCTCTGAGTACGATTTTTGAACCGAGGCTGGCTAATTGACAAATAAGCTGATGTTACATGTAAAGGGATTTCAACAAACTCGTTTAAATCAGCATTTCGTACATTCAATGGTCCTTATAATGACCTTTTTAGCAAATACAGTCTATCACTGGATCGTACTTTGACTGACATATTTCATACCAATTGTAAGGCCTTTGTTGTTATAATACTTAATTTTGACTATAGATAATTCCGTCTTCTTGATCAATACCCAGGGCCCACGGCGGGTGTGACCGGGTGTCGCATAATATTTGGTCCGCCTCGTTTAAAGGTCCGGGGGGACCTAATACGATAACATATAAGGTCCGGCCTGCCTCTATTATAAAAGGTCCGCCTTCGGTTTAATATGCAGATTTTTCTCCTTTATTGATTCGAAATTAATTTGCTTTATTAATTTTTTTAAATTATTTAAGGTATAGTTGTTATAAAAGTGTCCCTCTCAGCAAAATGGAGTTCCAGTGACGTACATGTATGTACATTGTATATATACTAAAAGGATCAAGTCTTGCGATATCTCGCTAGTTGCTGGATTTCGATAGCCAATTTTAATTAATTAAGGTCTTTCGTCACAACGGAAGACCTTCTACTGATTCTGATGGTTAAGATTATTATTCTTTTTTTTTTCTTCTCCTTTCTAGACGCCAACTTTGAGGCCTCATATCTCGCTCATTTCTCAACGGATTTTGCTCAAATTTGCAGGGTTTGTAGACGTTACAAAACTCTATCAGAATGCTGTCAAACATGTCAAAAATCCACTTCCGCTTTTGAGTTATCTCCCTTTAAATAAAAATTTAGGACTCTTCATTTCCGGATAAAGGCTCAGAGACTACACAAGCTGGAGAAGAAATTCTACCGAATTTAAATAATAGAAGCATTGAAGTTGTGCACATCTATTTTTGTTTTTTGATTTCTGTGTTCAAAATGGCGCTAGATAGGGGTCAAATATTAGAACGCCTAAAAGCGCGAAAATTTACACATATTTTCCTATGTATCTTTTAAACTAAAAATATTTTGTTAAAACATGTTGAATAAAAGTTGTGCACAATTTTATTGTCTTTCATTTGGCACCTCCAAAAAGGGGCTGGTCCCTTAAATTAGGGATCTAGGGTCCTTGAAAGTTTTCGTTTTATAACTCAAAAACGGTAAATATTTCGATATAGCTGTCGCTAAAAAAGTTGTTCTTTAACATATTATTGATCTCGTGAACTTGTTATTTTGTTCGAGTCTTTTTTAATAAATGAGCTAGAAGCTTGACCCATATACAGGTAACTAGTTTCATTAGACAAGTGAAGGTGAAATCTTTATGCGCATAACTGAAATAAACTTGCTATAAATGATAAACCTATCCAAAATAAATACTAATACTACTTTAAAATAAGTTTTTACGTGTTCTGTGGTTTCATTCCAAATTATTGAGTCACACATTTTCAATACGTCTCGGGGTTTGTTTTTGTTTATAATTACGTAACCGGCCATCCCCCGATCACGCGTGACCTAGATCCAGTGATCAGTGGCCATACACTAAACAGGCATTGCCGTTCTAAATCTATTTTGCAAACTCAACTATGTACGGATAATTGTTTTTTTTTAGTCAAATCGGATCTTTCAAATTATTTCATCTTATCTATGTTGGTCATGTTGGTGATATACTTATTAAATTATTGTGGCCGAAATTACAAGAGATCCATTGCGTGTGAACCAGTGACCTGCGTTCGTAAACAAAACATCTTTTCGTCGTTTAATGTTGACACATACACTATATTAAATTTTTTTAAAAAAGTAAGCAAAATATAAATCGGTCTTTAACTGCATTTAACTGCGTTTCACATATACCCGGGTTTTGTGTTTGTTTACAATTATGTAACCTAATTATGTAGCCGAGGAAGCAGCTTTTAGTGCTCATACACAAAACATTGTCGTTCTATATTCATTTTGCTGACACAATGATTTACGGAAAATTATTTTTTAAATCAGACCGGATCATTCAATTAAATCATTTATTCTTATCTTAATTTGATTTAATTTAAATCCAAAACATTTTGTTAAGGACGTATAAAGGTCCCCGATTTCATGAATCCTAATCTTTAAACTGCATACATGTATTTAATAAACGATTTATTTCTCAATTATGTGTTATTATGTGTTTAATTTCGGAGATTCATTGCGTGTGGTTAATTCTGCAGATAATTCTAAATTGACACACAAGGTTTGTAGACAAAGAATTCAAAAGAGATATATTTTGAAAACAAGACGCATTGCTAAACCTTTTTACATTATTTTCTTTTTAAAATGGCTATCTTTATGATTACACCAACTTTTAACATGCTGTGTGAAAAACTCTGTCGAC